CTTATGTTATCTTTGTCATCTTTTTTCTTTTTCTTTTCTTACTTGGTTATGTTTTAGATTGTGGGCAGGGATTATGTTTTAAAATCAAATGTATGAAAGATCCTTTGGGAATATTTTTGACAAAGAAGTGGAAGAAATCTTGTAGAATAAATAATAAATAAAAATCAATTCTCAAAGAGAGATTTTTCATTTTTGCTAGTGTTGAAATTCAGATACTTTCTCATCTACCTAAATCACTCTGTGGTTTATCCAGATCTATTTTCTACTGCTGAAAACTGGCTACTGCTGTCACTTCACTGTGAGTAATGAATAATTGACCAATTGAAGACTTTACCAGAGAATCCTTCTCTAAAGCACTTACCATATCTGCTATAAAATTGAACTCTATGGAACATAATTTTTAATTAAGCAAGGCACAATTGTTTTATACCTATAGACCACAGCAATGCCAAAACTGTCTCATTTACTGAGATTTTAAATTACATTTATGGGGTGTTGTTGTTGTTGAACTTTTGGAAATTCATTAAGAGCCTGACTCATCTCCACTTTAAATTTCAGCTCGCAGCTGTCTGTGATGTCCTTGTGGAAAACTATGTCCCTGGAAAACTGGCTGGAATGGGCCTGGGTTATGATGACATTAACAAAGTTGCACCTCACATTGTTTACTGCTCAATAACAGGTATTTTAACTTCAGTGGTACAGTATTCTGTCATTTACTTCATTTTCTTTGGTATTTCATATGCTTTTTTCATTTTTCATTCTTCTTGTGAAAACTCAGATGATATTGCCACTGCCAGAATGTCAAATGCAAGGAAGGGTGGGGAAATACAGATGAGTTTTAAACCATGATTTTAGGCCAAGGTTTAAAGCCTAATCATATTGTTATAATACTGGTTTTAAATATTTAGCATCCTGCCTCATGCAAGCCTTAAAGACTATCTGGTACAGGTAGTCCTCAACTTACGACCATTCATTCAGCAACCATTCAAAGTTATGATGGCGCTGAACAAAGGGACTTATGACCAGTCTCCAAAGTTATGGCTATTGCAGCACCCTCAGTGGTCATGTGGTCAAAATTCGAGTGCTTGGCAACCCGCCTGCACTTACAACTGCAGGGTTGCTTCAACTCCCCCCACCTACTTGTCTCCCCTCATCTATGCCCTTTTGGACCCCTGCACTCTGCAGCCCCTGCCGCCCTAGCTGACCTTTGCTGTATTCTTCCTCCTGCTGCTGATCAAGCATGCCCTGCCTGGCCTTCGTGAGGCAGCTGCTGGTTCGTGAGGCTTTCTTTCCAAGGTTGCACATGGTGGTTTCCTTGCAAGACCTGGGGAAGGTGGCCTCCCATGGCCAGCAGCTGCCTTGCAAAGGGCTAGGGCGGGCACGCCTCGTCAGCAGCAGGAGCAGGAAGATGGCAAAGGTCAGTGAGGTGGCAGAGTGCAGGGTGGCAGGGGCCTTGGAGTACAGGGTGGTGAGGGCAACTGCTGCTGGGACTGGGCTGGAGTGGCCAGGGTTTCCCAGGGCGTGGTGGCTTTGCACCATGCTGTTGGGGCTTCCCAGGGCGCGGTGGCTTTGCACCTCACTGCTGGGCCAGGCTGAGGCTGGGCTTCATGTGGCCTAAAGGGGCTTCCTGGTGTGCCACAGCTTTGGGGCTGCAAAAAGCCCCAGAGCCGTCGCATACCAGGAAACTCCTTTGTGCCACACTGCTGGGCCGGACTGGCTAGCCCCAGCCAAAGCCCAGCTCCAGCAAAAGGTAAAAAGCCCCAGAGCTGCAGTGCGCCAGGAATCCCTGAGACACAGTGTATTTTTTACCTGGCCTTCCTGAGCTCACGCTGCAATGCAGCACCCTCATTCCCCAACTCATGGGTGGCCTGTGCTGGCCCTCCCAGGCCTTCCCCACCCCCTGCAGCACCCTCATGTTCCTTATCTGGGACTCCTGCCTCTTCCCGTTGCGCTTTATGACCGCATCAGCGACATATTCTAGTCCCAATTGTTGTCATAAGTCGAGGACTACCTGGACACACTTACTACACGTTACTCTTTCAGTCTGTAGGACTGATGCTATAATGAGAGAATCCTTGTTCATACAAACCAGATCTGTCACACAAGTGACTCAGGAGAGTCTTACAGCCTCAGTTTGGCTTGCGACCTGACAGCATTCTTGCTAAGGCATTATTGGGGTGACTAATGGGCTCCATGTGAGGCCTACAGTGCTTCACTTTGTATGACTTGGACTTGAATCGTTGTCCTGCTTAACATTTTTCATGTTAATGATTATTCTCTTGTTTGTAGAAGGAATTCTCAAAATTCCAAAGAAATAAAGCACATGTTGCAAAAGAATTTACTTGTTTATAAAGAAAGAGAAATCATTTTAAACTGCAAATATACTAATTCATGAACAATTTTGATTACCATTTTCCCCCTTTGGCCCAGATGCTTAAGTATTTGGGTAAGCTTAGTTTGTGAATCTCTGCATTTCCAGTGATCCTGGGGAATCCACAAGGAGCTAAAATTTAACTGATCTGTAAGTTTTACTGCTTGTTGCTCCTATAGTTTTTGGGCTCAATGGCCCCTTAAGGACCTAAACTTTGTTGATCTCCAGATAACATCATGACATCAGAGCCCTGTGGTGACTGAACAAAGCCAAGATATTGCTCACTGTTTTTACTTGCCCCCACTAACTTGGATTCCTATGTGTTTTGTGTTTCATTCCCTTGTTTTTCATGTGGCCTGCTTTGGTGCTTTATAAAGCTTGTTGCCAGCTAAAATAACTCATCTGTATATGAAAATGTGTCTGCTTTTTTGTCTTAACACAAATGTATCATCTCTAACACATATATTGTGGTCTGGCTGCTTTTCCCTCTGTATATACAGTACATGTATTTATTGTTTCAGCTATGAAGATTACTTGTCTTGAGCAGTCTGTGCAACTGTGGGATGTTCACATTGGGAAAAAAAATTGGGTACCAAAAAGTCTAGCCTAGCTGCCGCTTAGAAGTATTAAAGATTGTGGTTATTCCAGGACCTTATGCCAGCCTGAAGGATTTTTCTATTTGAAAACAGGATTCATTGCATAAGTGCAAGAAGATTTGAGCAATTTTACAATATGAAAAAATTCAACACACATGCCCACATATAATAAATCACATTGCCACACATTTATCTGCAGCCTGTTTACATGTCCAAAGAAGGTATCCTTTTGGATAATGTATAACATATTCCAATAGAAAAGAATATATGTAGTTCACGGTGAGAATATATGTAGCTCAGGGTTGAACTGAGAATATATGTAGTGCAGGGTGAAAATATGTAGCTCAGCATTGAACGTAGCTCAGGGTTGAACCCTGCTTATCTGGGTGTTGGCTGCTGGAAAAGATGTGTTCTGTTCTTTTTGTTTCCTTCTTGGCTTTTTTTATTGTTTCTTTTGACTGGTGGGTAAATGTGGTTTATCTCTATGTGTCTATTGATCACTGATTTGTCTGAATGCCAAGCTTCCAGAAATTCCCTAGAGTTTTTGAATTTAGCTTGGTCTAAGATGGTTACAGCTTCCCAGAAGATAAGCAGGGATTAACACCAGGCAAACAATCAAGGAGAAAACAATCCCCTAATCCCTTATCAAGGAGAAAACCACAACCCCACCAACACTGAACAGGGAGCAAACCCCACATTCACTAGCACTGATGTTGTAACCTAATTTGGTAATGAAACGTCTGCAAGCAAACAACCAGACTCAGAGAACACCAAGGATTTCATAGTATAGCATCTTATTGGGAAAAATACTTATTTCTAATTTAGGAAAATGCACATTCCTCTTTCAGAGGAACACAGGGAAGTTCTTTTAGAGTTTTATGCCTTGATTCTTACCATTCGTTTGCAAATGGAATGGAATATTAGCATTTCTTTTCATTATTGAGATTTGTTGGCACAGTTATTTAAGAGAATTAAGACAGTCCCTGTTTAGCAGTTGCTTTCCACCATTTCCTATTTTGTCCTCCCATGCCTTTTAGAGACTTAATTCATAGAAAATCTTCTGAGTTCCAGAGCAATTTTTATTCCAGTATTTTATACTTGGGTTGGCAAGGGACCACTGGCTCTTCTGCTGTAAGAAATGATCTGTGATATGGTTGATAAGGCCTAACTTTTCATGTTGTTTGCCTGATAGTTTCATTGCTTTTATTATTTGTTCGGTACTTGTGTAGCACACTCTCTCTCTTATCTTCTATTTTGCTATCAAATATTGATATGGTGATATTTTCCTGCTTGTATTTAGTTCACATAATTGCTTTTTTGAACTCCCATGGGTAGATTGTTATGGTGCATAAGAATACTTCACCAATGCATTTACCAATACATTTCTCCAGACTGGGAACACTCTTGGAAGAGCTTTATCTGGCATTAGCACAATAAGGCAGATTGTGTATCACCCACACTGCTGCCCTGCCTGGGCTACCTCAAATGGTCTCTAGTGTGATATTGGAAAACTCCAGTGTGGTGATCCTAGAAGATGTCAATATTTATGCTGAGACTGTTCTAGAAAGCCCAGTCTGGGATTCCACAGCCTGCAGGACTGTCATAGATCTATCTCAAATTGTGGGATTTGGGATCTTGTCAAGGCCCTTATTGATTTATGGAATGGGAAAGCAGAAGTACAATATTTTGCACTGTACAGCCTCAGCTTTTCTCCAGTTTTAATAGGGAATTTTGCATAATAAAACATGTTAGGGGACAGCTAGGGCCCAAGTGATACAGATTTCACCATGAAGTTAACCAAACATATGTTAGTGTACAATGTTGTTTACTGTATTGAAAAGGAGAAGACTTATTTTGTGGCCTCTAGTGGAAAGGTTCCATGGAGCTTTGTAGGATGGTTAAGAGTACACTGTCTTCTGCCAAAGGAGATCCAATGGTACAGCCCTCAAAAACTTTCTGTAAAAAAATGGTGAGATACCTGAGGATAATATCAGTTTAATGATGCTTTGGATATAATACATACTGAAGTGTCTGGTGACCTTTGATCTAACTGTGTGGAGTTGCTTTCCATTTTTGAAGGACATGGACAAGACTTGTAGCTACCCAGAGTTTTCAGGCTACTGCAAAGAGTTGATTTGGGTGGACCAAGGGAATGGTTAGCACATGTTAATGTTGTGGAATAGAGTATTGCCTCCTTGAAGAGTGCTTGCCTAAAATCAGAGGATTGTGTCAACTACTGTCCAGTAGCAAATAAGATTTTCTGGGCAAGGTGCTCTAGAAAGTCATGGTCTTGGAGATAGTGATTATCTCAGCTATTTTCAGTCTGGATTCAGATGTAGTTTTGGGATAGGATTAGCTGTGATCACTCTGATGGATGGCTTCATGGAGGAGAGAGAGGGAGGGAGTATGATTGTGTTGATCCTGCTTGCTCTCTCAGTGACTTTAGTATTTTTGAGTGCAGTTTTCCTATGGACTGTCTCTTTGAACTGGGGATTGGGAGCTCTGATTTACAGTGGTCCCACTCCAACTTGCTAAGATGGTCTTAGAGAGTAATAGTGGGTGATTATGTCCTGCATCCTGCTAGCTATTCTATGGGTACCACAAAACACAATTTAGTCTCAAATGAAATTTTATATCTATATGAAGTTTTGCAAGGAGTCACCAATATTCTGATACCACCTGTCTGTTTAATTATATGTTAATCAGGAGAGG